AACTTGGTTGAATATGATTGGTTCACATACACATAATGTAATAGTTTACTTACAACCAACAGGAAGTAGGAATAGTTTTATATTCACCAGATTATTGATCGGTAAAAAGAATTCAGCACATACATTTTCTTTAATTAAAAGCAAATTCATTCTTTTATCACGTACTATCGTAATCAATCGAAAATAATAAAAACAAATTGAAGTAAATGGGCTGAAAGAAAAGTTACATGTTGAAAGAACAGATTATTAATTCTTCCTCCCTCTCTCTCTCTCTCTCTCTCTCTCTCTCTCTATATATATATATATATATATATATATATATATATATACGTGGTTCATGTATACTTGCTAGATAAGTCCCTCTCACATTATTCAGTAAATATAGCAAATTGACTGGCAGAAATATCCTCGCTTAACATTTATTTCCTAATATAGTAAACCTAACACAGTCGATTAAGATTTTTTGTACATAATTTACGTGTACAAATGACATAAAGTACAAACACAGAGATTCGTTCAAAAACAATTATCTACCTTATCAGATTTGCACATTAGGCATTTGATTAAAATAACCTTGATATGTATACAAGAAGTTCATATTCAGTCGAATTGTTCAATTGATTATTTTACCTCTTAGAAAATATCTTTATGTCTTATCACGATGTAAGTAATTCAAAATCATAGTGAATATATACATTAGTGATTACTGTTAGACATCCACCATATAATATCAAGTATTGTGGTTCACTAGTCATATGAAAAGCATAATCCATCAACAATTAAATAAGCTTTAAGTACCTAACAATTTGAAAGGTGGATATTTCTTCAAAACTAATTAGTGTATAATAGTTTAAGTATTAATTATTAGTAAAATATCGTAAACAAGAAGTATAGCATCTTTTAACAACTAAACAATAAATAAATCGTCATGATAGAAGACAAAAGAAATGTCAGTATAAAAATGGTGAGCATTTCAATCTTTATAAAGTCAATTTGATCGATTATTATAAACATTTCTTTGTTATCAATCAAAATAAAATGTATAGTTTAAAAATTTGATGTTCATTGAAAGTGGTCTTACATGTTATCATAAATAATAATGTCTAAGTCTGATTCATAGAACATAACATCAGGTAACGTTAATTTATGATCATATCTTCATACCACACACATCAATAAGTAACTAAAAAATTATTTGATTCGATTCAAGATTATAGGCCGAAAAAATATAAATATGATTGTTCATTTATAAATTAATTCTTCGGCTCGATATGGACAATCATTTAATGTTGGAGAGTTGAATTGTGTAAACTAATTGAATTTCCACCATCTATTATAGATGAATGATACCAGTTATACTGGTGTAAGACTATTTCACTTATAATCTGAGTATAGCTAGTGTTATAAATAAGTATGAACAAAAACTATTTATTTGTTATTTCACTTAATTAAAAAGAACAATTTTTCCAACTGATACATCCTATAAATTTATAATATGATAGAGTTCACTCATGGAATTTATGATACAAATCAATATTATGCTATCACTGGTGATCACATACATTAATAATAATGATACATTCAGATCAAATAAAATATCTAGCACATATTTAAAATTATTACTATCTAATTTAATATTGACTAATAATAAAATCAATGTATAAAAATGAAACTATGAAAAAATATTCTTCAAGAAATAATTCACTCAATCTTATTTAATAACAATTTATTTTGATTAACACAGAACATTCAATGCTCTTAATACATATATATATATATATATATATATATATATATATATATATATATATGCAATTTTCATGTGTCAATTTCTTACAATTTCATTTATTTTACAATGGAACTGCCTAATTGATCGAGATTGCCATAAAAAGTAATCAGTTATGATTAAACTTATTTTCCAATTAATCATATACATGAATAGTATGTAGTTTTAAAGTTTGAAATTTCTTTAGTCTTACGTCTTAATGGAAGTTGGACATTGAAACTAAATGGTGAGTAAAGTTTAAATCATATTTTGTTTGGTTGGAAAGTGAGGATATTCAGACTGTGCAACTTATTTATTGTTACTTGATATTATCTCAAAGAAATGGAAACTTGTGAAACTTGGTAGAAGTTGGCACTTGAAAAGAAATTAAAATATCAGGCGAATAAGAGGAATCGGGAGAAAATCTCAAACTTAGGTGTCATACTAGGAAATACTTGCCAAAAATAACAAACATACAGTCTTGAGGGAACTGTGCTAATTGCACTAACCAAATACGCGTCATCCTTCTTCGTAGTCATAGAAATTATTATTGAATTACTGGAGATGAGAGTGATCTCCTGTAGGAATGATATTTTTGCTTTTACTAGTAACTGAATGGTGGTGACTGTCATGTTTTCACAATACCAAACGAATGAAATATGACGAATAGTCCAAGTGACTTGATATCGTGCTCAGTTTGTTTTAATGTTGGGTGGATAGTATTATTCAGAAATGATAGTTCAAGATTGTCATGTGAATTTGCTTACGTAATGGATAGTGTCAAAGATACGCACGATTTTTCTTCTAAATTATCTCGATCGTTGATACTCTCAGTTTATGCTACGGACAATATTCCTATCATGACTATGGTATAATTATCCAGTACCTAATATACCTAGAATTGCGAAAACATATTTATAACATTGAAATAGTACACTGGTGTCAAGATTTCATTATAAATCATAATAAGTCAAATATTTTGTAACACTCCAAGATGGAAATATTTATTTTATTCGTTATCACCGATAATTAATTCAAAATAACTTATAAAAATTAACACTGCAGTTGATAGGAGCAAAACCTTGAACACTCAAAAAAATCAGGTGAGAGTTATTTTGAAGTCATGAGAACTATCAAAGTAAAATGTTCAAGCACCAACATCGAATATGTTTTGTTCATGTCGAACCTGAACAAGTACATAAATTTCAGACGGTTTCTGTTAACTTGTAACACATATGACAAAAATGAGATATCAAAATGTTTATGAAAGTTAGAATGTACTACATGTTACCACCTCCTCCTATATTTAGTTTATCTTGATGAATCATTATACCCGAAATTAAGTTACACGAGCTAGCTACACACGTTTGTTATCGATACTTTTGAGGCACCATTTGCATAAAGTGACAGCACTTGGTATTCATTATTGAAAATAACCGTTGGTTTATGTGGTAACTACTTGATTTATTTGGCCGGGACCTGTTTGTACATACTCAATTAATATATAGTTTGATGGACCATCTAGTTAGCGTGCGACCTAAAACCTACAAACGGGAAGATAATTATGTTTTTTGATGGTTAGCAGTTTTAATTTGCCCATCTCTAATTTAAATAACTTCTTGCGGACGCAGTATAAATATCTAACATAGATAATCATAGGAACTGATATTATTCGAAATAAAACAGATATCATTGTTCAACTTCCCGAAGCATTCTTTTAACTAATTTCTCACAAAATAATATTTACGAGCACAGATGTGTTGTTTTGCCTTCTTAGCTGTAAAGCTTGAGTCTTGATCGTCCAGTGAAGGTGAACAGAACTTGATGAACTAAACTTTAAAACTTTCCTCTTGGATAAAGTTCCTGACTTCTAAGACAGAGAATTTACGAAGACACTAAGGAAAAGCTCACAAGCCCAGAACCAGTTACTTTTGGGTTAAGGTCTTTCTTATCAAATGATCGACCAAAGAAACTTTTTACTTCAACATTTTGTTGAAGATTCATCTTTTAATGCGTTTAAATGACTGTTAGGCTCGTATGTTGTTGGTATAATCCCAGAGGAATATTTTCACCGAAGATTTACAAAGCATAAATAGTTCTAGAATGATGATCGACAGTCATTAATAATTACAACTAGTGCGTTTGTGTCAAAAACCACAGCATGTTTAAAACACAGAGGTTTGATTTCTTCTATTTACCCTCCAATCAAGTCAGAAATAGCAGAAGCCTGACAAAAATCAAATATTTTCCCTTTAAAGCTCGATTACAATTTATAAATCTACTTGACAAACAATATCCTATTTTTCCCTAGATGGGTTTTGATTAACGTCAAGCTTTACCTCAGAATTAGGAAGTAGATAGTTTTCTTGACTTAGAAAGCTCTGTGTCATTGTTAGTCTTCATGATTTCAATATCTGAAAACACCACTACAAGTGCATTTTATAATAAGTTATAATGGTTTAATTTACAGTTAGCTGCGTTGTCCTTCTAATTCATTTCCTAGATCAGAAGTTTCTTTAAGTGTACTTCAGGAGAGAAACATGTTCTAAATTCATGCCGATTTTTTCCAAATAATGGGACGAGAGTTTTAACTTTTCAGATAATATTATTAGTTTACCGATAAGGTATATATCTGAAAGTAGCTTTTTCTTGGTCAAAATTTTTCTACCATTTTAGTTTTACTTGTCTTTTAATGATGCAAGCAAACAATATAAGTATTAATTTCCTGTGTGATAACTTGAAGAATTAATCTCTAAAAATATTTTGGTTGCTTGATATTTTTACTTTGCAATCAATCCATCTTCACGATCATATTATTCAGTAGCACAATCTAAAACCTGGTAATTCTCTTATAAAGCAAAATATGACAAAAGTATTAGCTTTTGTGCTGTGACATAGAAGCGCAGGAACTTTACATCGAGTGAAAAAAAGCTTGTAACTAAGTACAGAAGATTTGTGCAGAGATCTATTGTAGTCTTCTTCTGAATAGGTTACGAGCCCATAATAGTAGTGAAAACACGTTTCATATAATTTGTGTGAAGTGAGAATGCAGTACAACAGATCTCGGTAAAAAAAGACAAAATTCTAAAAACGTCAGCTGTATTTATCACTTTTTATTGACAGTTGTTAGTTTCTAGATAGAAGCATCCCTTACATCGGTACGGTCTATGTTCACTATACGAGTTCTAAAATCAATAACTTATTTCTCATTCTCTTCAAAATCGATTTCGTGGTCTGAGTGTTCATTCTTCAGCTGTAATAATACAACTGTCAGAGATATTTCAGCTGGTTACTAAAAACTGAGTTATGCAAGTTCCTGAAACATAGCATTTTTCTATGAGCTTGTAATCTCGTATTTGTTGCGATTGGTCAAAGCAGAGGCATTTTGGTTTTTGGGAGGGAGAGATGTGCTGACGAGCAATGACATTTGAAAAAAATTCAAAACCACAGGAAGACTACTAGGAAATATGTAGAACAACTGTTATTTCCATTCTATAAGCTATTTTACAAGTTTCAAAATGAGACATAACTATTTCTATGACTCAATAAATACTGGAGATATGTAAAACTTAAATTATTTAGGGTTCTACAAAATTATGAAATGATATGCATTTTTGACATAAGTAACTGAAAGTGTAATCTGTGAAAAAGGTTAAAAATTTCGAACGGGGTTATCATAGTACATAAATAAAAACGCATAAAAACGTTTACAGGATGCATGAGTTTATTTACATGGGGCAATGAAAAATATTTCACACGCTATATTTGGTCTAAAAAATACTCCATGGCAATAGCTGACTAGTTATTATATTGGAGAATAATAGAACTCCAGGAAGTTTAAGAATTTTTGAGGAAGTCTAGTGCATTGGTACGCTTTTTGGCTACCATTGCTGCCTGTTTGTGTTCTGAAAGTGTCAGTGGTATATTTATAATCTTTTGAATAACTTCTAGCCACTTTTCCTGTTCTTCTTTTTTGTCAGCAGCAAACACAAAAGGACGTGCGGATGTATGAATAGTTAACGGAAACCCATTATGACGGTTCCAGCCATCAGGAGTGCTATTAGTTATAGAGTAGCCTTCCTTGTTAGAACCAATGAACAACTCTCCCTTGGAAAATGGACTTAATGGATGATCAGTATATAGAAAATGACGGTGTAGAATCATGCACCAACGGCGACGCCAAGCATCTTTCTTGCGAGGTCCTGTTTTGGAGAGCCAACCATACATATCTATGTCTCTAGTCAGCCTTTTACTCAGTTCACATGGTGACAATGTAACACCCATACCACTAAGACCGAGGCATAAACGGTGATACTTGCCCAAACGTATTGCGTTATACCAATTGATTATAGTTCTGCTGTCCTCAGAGCGGATGAACATGTGTCTTGTCGAACAGTCTTGAACGAACTGAATGAGCGCAGTATGTGGTGGTAGACCGAAATCCTTAGATGAAATGAACGTAAAATTAAGTCTTTCTAGATCAAGCGATTGTTTAGGTTGTGAATCGGATGGCTTAACGTAGTAACGAAGATAATTTCCTTCTACAGAAAGTTCGAAAAAGCGCTCACAAAAAGTAGTGGTGTCACGCAGCTTTTTCAGCAGTACACCTGACTTAAAAGAGCAAGCAAACTGACTTTGAGCCCCTCTAGCGATGGCGTCACTGGTGAACTCTTCATGCACATATTTTGATTTTATAAATGCCTCTCTAAGAAAGACAGGACATTCTAAGCCCGGCCAAGGACGGCGGAAATACACTGGGAGTGAGGCTTCTAACTTTTGATTAATAGCCTTGTTCCCTCCAAACTTCCTCAAGCGGGACACACTATCATCTGACCAAATTACACTATTATTCTCGTCTGTGGAAATCTTTTTTATATTTCCATTCAGTGACTGATGTGCAACTAGATAAAATGAAGATGAATTACCATAGTTTGCGAGACTTACCACCACATAGTTCACAAAGAAAAACTCCGTAAGATAGAGAAGCATATTTAACTATTGTGCAACGGCAGTCAGCACAGATTTTATTGCATGGAGAATCGATTTGTTCACGCAAGTCTTTAATATGTTCACCACAGTTACTCATGTTGGTACTTAAATAAACGCGCGTTCTTAGCATTCAGGATCCAATTTCTAATTCGATAGCTGGTATAAACTGAGTGATTTCTTGTAACTCACTTCCGTTTGTCTTAAAAATGCACAAATCTTAGTTAGTTGGGTGGCTTTTTATGGATTCGGATGTCTGGCTATTGGAATGAATGCGTTTGTTTCAGAGCCCTAGCGTTGCCAGAAACTATAATCTTTCTTATTACCAACCAGGAGGTCAGTTGGTTATGACATAAAAAATGATATGCGTAAATTTCAATGTCAATGGAATACGATTATTATGAGAATTAAGTAGGTTACTAAAACTAAGGGTGATGCATATAGTATCCATTTTAGCTGAGAGAGTATTTCGGAGGCAACTGTTGATAAAAAAGAGCAATGTACCTTGTGGCATCGACAGTGTCCTGTTCCAATTCATCGTCCCTGATGCCTAAGGAGATTAGTGCTTCAATTCGTATACTGATATTTAGATGCAACTGTGGACGCATATTTTCTATCTCCACTAGTTTACCATTCAATACCCTCATGTTGCATTACCAGCATCATAGGTTTGCCCCAACGTTCGGTAACTCTCATAGTAGCATGTTTTCCAGAATTTAAAAAAATATTTGTAAATAGTCGGTCGGCCAGTTCTTCGGGAATAGCCGATAAAATATTTTGATTATGAAGCGTATCGTATCATAACTAAGCCGTCGGTATTCAGACTCACCCACTGCTGCTGTCTGTAATCGAATAGTGAGATATTTTAGTAAGTAATTTCATTTTTAAATTGCTGTAAACCCCAGAATTAGGGTTCTCGCCAGTTGTCTTATTAATAAGGTTTAATTCATGGTAGAAGAGCTTTGTGTGAATGTTACCCAAAAGACTAAGTCTTAAAATGAAGGACAATTTAAAGTGAACGTACTTAAATACTTCGAAAGCGGAAAATAGACAAAATAAGTGGATGAATGTTACAAGCGAACAGAAACTTAGAATCAAAGCGTTTAACTGTCTTTACAAACAATTCTTTGTAATTCCAACAATATTCTTACAGCGTTTGCGTTAACAGGTAGATGGATACTTGTACATATTAGATGAGATAATGATTCATCCTTTCCCAAAGTTCGTTACTGAAAAATGAGAATGATCAAAAATGTAACATGGCTTTTCAGTATTACTTCCACGCCTAATTCTCAGCTTGCAGAAGTAACGTAACTATACCTTCGGCACCCGTCTAAGATATTATCAACGTCATCTTGTCTCGCATCGAATAGTACTTTCAAACCAAGAAAGAGCTTGCATAGCTGGCTTTAGACTGTTTGATGTGATTTTGAAACAGACAACAGTTAATACTGAAGCAGTGCTTGGTGTAATAGAAAACTTCATTGTTCCCTAAATATTCTGTCACGTTATGACCCGTCGGACCTTTCGTAACAGCTGAGCTGGATTCATGGCTTGTAACTGCTGGATAAACGTCAGGTATCATTTTCTTGGTGATACTGAGCAAACAATTAAATATTCAGTGATCAGTTGTTTAATGTGAGAACCGTCTAGCTTGATGAAACATCTGAACACATCTCATTGACATTTCTCTAACACTACAATTTTCCCACTCTACAGCTTTTAAAAAGAGAAACTAGATGTAAAAATAGTACATCTCGCCTAGTTAGCTCGAGGTATAAATCAGCTCAAATATTTTGTGATTCTCGATAAACGTTCAGTTGATGAGCTATTTAAGTTATGTTTACTTCACGATACCCGTAACTGAGACCTTAACAGAAACCACAAATTAGCTAGACGCAGTGATATGATATTAGTTCAATCTTTTTCAGTTTCAAAAGTTTTGGCTTAAGTTAGAAATCTCTACGTAGTAGCATAGTCTATGATGAGAAACAAAAAATGTTTTGTCACCCTAGTTTTATATACTGGATTGATAAGCATTGTATTTTCGTAGTTTCTCTTTAGAACTTCACAAACTATTTAAATGCATCTTAGCCTTGTTGTAGGTTGATAGATGTACCTTGTAGCGGGCTGCAATCTCACAAAGTTAATGAAGAATTCTATTTTGCTTCGTAAATCTTTCGGCTATGTCACAGTTCAGACAGTCAGATTAACGCAGTTAGAACAAAAATTCAGGCTACATTCTCTAATCTGAGTTCAAGGTGATATATAACCTCCCTCCATGTGCTCCCGAGTAATATTTTGTATAACTATCATAAGAGTCAGTCTACATTCGCAACCGACTGATCTCCTGCCTTAAATGTGATGGCTTATGATATCGAACAACCTTACGGCACTGAGACAATTGCAATCAGTCGTACGAATTCATAAAAAGCTACCTAACTGAATACTGTTTGTGCAGTCGAGTGAACAGACTGCAACTCAACAAACATAATCAAATACCCGGAGTTGTACTGAACTACAAAAAGCAAGTGCAAATAAAAGAAGTGGCTTTAACAGCACGTCAGACAGATATCGAGTTTTTTTACAGTATATGAACCAGCACTTTATCTGAGATGATTTTCACAACATATTGAAATGTGGCTAGATATGAATGCTTCGATAAGATCATCTAATTCTTAGCGTTACCAGGAAAACTATTACAGTCGATGTCAGACGCTTAGAACACATTTATTCCGAAGAATTACCGACCACCACATCCTAATTAGCTCACTGAAATAAAAAATTACCTGTATTTTTATTATTTTATTCTGATGTCGTTGCTGATACTGATTTTCAATAACCAGTGATAAACGATCAAATTTACCTATTTCAGTATACACATGCGCTTCTTACATATTTTTGGTATCTAGGCAGGAAAGTAATATTGACTTACTGTTTTGTTTCTCCTAAACCAATGCACAATTCTCACTAACCTTTTAGATTCGCGATGCATTCACTGGCAGTTTCAGATAAGATTTTACTAAGATTTTGCTCTGTTTCCTGATGAAATGTCTATGTTTACCACTCAAATTTGTAAAAATAAGTTTTAGGTGATGCAAGTCGAAATCAGTTTGGTTGCTGCTGCGAAATATTGAACATTTTCTATGCATTAATGAAGAACCGAACCACCTACCATAAATAAACAAACGCAAACTAAATTTAGGGAATTTACCTAAACTAAACAATAAGGGCAACCTTAGGTAAATATTCAAATCATCCTGAAAGTCCTTAACCACATTGAACCATGTATAAAGTAGAAAACCAGAGTTATTATTTAAGGTTGAACTTCAGACTATGGGTTCTGGTCACGATTTCAGATTATTAATTAGGGTGAGATTAAGGGTTCCTGTAAATACCAGGGTCTTACACTTATGATTGAGGATAAGGACATGTGGTATTGGTTTAAGATTTGGATTAGGGGTTGTGATGAGTTTAGATATATCTTAATACCTACCTGACATTCCTATTCTTAATCATAAATTTTAGTCTACATACTCTAAGTTCTAGTACTAACCATATTTTTTATTACTTTCTGATGCTTTCTTCATTAAAACTAAGTGTCTGCTCGGGAAAAGAGTTCTATTCTTACATATATTTCATGACGCTTTGGCTATTTTCATCATTCCTAATGGGTTAGCTGTAATAGCTCACCCTTACTACAATCACATAGATGAAAAAGACTTTAATCTAAAGTGACTCAAAAAGTGATGTCTAGTAATTTTATGTAAATTCCAACCAGCAATCCCATTAAACCTAACGAGATGTTATGAAACACTGAATTTCTTCGGATTGGATGAGACCGATTTTTAGCAAACTAGTCATTAGTGTTATTCAAAAACATTCTATATCTAACGAAATAGCTTTTTTTTGGAACTCATAAGAACAAAGAAATTTTCCTTCCAAAAGATTCTTGTAACAAAATTGAATTAACTCCTGAGGTTATTATTCGCTATTCTGTATAACCCATATTATATTTATCTTCACAGAACTTCTTGTATCTCCAGGCCTCATAACTAATTTAAAGGCTAATAAATGACTGAGCTTTAATGTCCATTTAGGAAAACTCATTAACAAGAACTCATCTTTTACAAGTTTGTTCGTTGGCATAGAAGCTAGTATCTCATTCAGACTCCGACCTTCTGCATGGTTATTCAATGAAGAATAACTGGAAGAAAAGTGATGCATAATTCTTTTCTTTTATTCAATGAGGATTGAAAATACGCTGAATTATATATTTATACTCTCAAGATCGACATAACAATAACAGGACTCTTGTTGATAATTCCGTAACTGCTTTTAAATTTTTTGATTAGATAAATGCAGATTATTCTATTCTCATGACAGACAATATACAGAGGATTTTAATGATATGATATCGTCTTATTAACATAATATGTATATTTCTATCGTAGGAACCATTAGGGAATAAGAACATTATTATAAACAAAAAATGGAAGAAGTCGATAACTTCTTCTTGTTTATCATCTTATTGCTTGTTTTTAACACAAAATTTTATTTATTACGTTACATTTTTTATCAGTTCCTAAAATAGGAAGTTATATATAACAGTAAAGTTCAGTGTTGTACAACTAGTTGTAGAATTATTTAAGTAAGAGTGAAACAGTTCATTTTTTATTCAATAAACAAAATGACTTGAATGTCAGTTTATATATATATATATATATATATATATATATATATATATATATATATATATATATAATAGTAATGCACATTTAATGTCAAACAAAATTACATTTTACCAATTTGAGTAAGTGATTATAACAGAAGTAGTTTGTAAAGAATATTATCACTAAAAATACTGAACAACAAAACGAAAGACATTTTGTGTATAGAAAGTACTGATTTCCCTAAAATGTTTTCTGGTAGTATGTATATTTTTCAAATATATTGTGTTCTAACCAGGAAAAGATGAATATGGAGAAAGAAAAATTGGATTAATATAAGTAGAAATTATAAATCTCATTTAGGATTTAAAAATCGAAACAAATAAAAGTATTCGAAATGAACACTGACCTGAAATCGATAATAAATAGCGTAAATTCAAACAAAAGTAGAAATTAAGAGAAAAACCAATGTTAGATGTTAAGGGAAGTAAATTTTACGTCTGTAAACCCACCGGTTAATAAGGATGCTCTAGCTTTTATTGCTAATCATCAGAGATCTTTAATATATGTATATATATATATATATATATATATATATATATATAATATTTAATTTGTCGCTCAATATTCTTAAGAATTTTGATGACAGCTTTCAAGTTGATGGAATGATGAATGTGATAATGTACCAGTTAGTGATTTTTTATCTTTTATACTCAATCTACTATCAGGGACATTTGGTTCACTACAAGTTTTTTTCTGTTCAGTTAATAAGTTATTATTATTATTATTGACTGATTTGCAACTAGATCTATGACATTTTGAAAGTTTCAAATTCGAATCGATATTATCAAATGGGTTTAATTTGCTATCCATAGATTTACTATGAACAAAACCTCTTTCATTTGTATTATACATTTCACAGTCATTATTATCTAGCTGATAAATATCTTCAGAACAAAATTCATTCGATGAAACAGTATTCATGGAAACTTTATCATTACTTAAACTTGTTGACGTTAATACTGATCTAGATCGTTTCAATGTAGACCAAGGACTAACATCAGACGAGACACGTTTACGTAAACTCCATAAATTATGTAAAGTATCTTCATTATCATTCATTTTGTTAGTTATATGTCGCTGGTGATGATGTTGATTGTTAAGATTTTGAATATGTTGTTGTTGTTGTTGTGGTTTCTGAATAACTGTACACCTTTTACTGATTTCATCTTTCAGTTGATTACTGTTATTAGTATTCTGAGCATGATTATTTCCATTGTCTAATGAATTTGATTCATTCTTGTTCATTACAGATGAAGTAGTTGTTGAATCTAGACTGTAAGTAGATCCATTACTGAAAAAAATGCCTGTTGAATGATTCTCATCGAGTGTTTCTTCAGTTTCAACATTCACTACTGGAGATGATGAAATGGAACTGGATAATCGTTGATTTAAATCAAGATTAGATCCAACGGAACTATTATCATTATTATAGTGATTTGTAGTTATTGTTGTTGGTATAGTATCATTAATATTCACTGATACATTGTATGTTTTATTCCTAACGTTTTCGTTTTTCACTTTCTAGTAATTGAGAAATTAATAAAAACGGAAAGATTTTTAAAAAAAACCAATGTAATTTTAATAAAATGAAGTTTAATTTTTAATAAGATAAAAATATACTTTAGTGATGATATATTCACAGCTTATTTTCTATGAATAAATGATAAATGAAACTGTTTTCATTCAAAAGTATAGTTGAATAATATACACAGTCATACATGAGAAAAATAATAACCAAGTTGCTAATGAAAATAAGTTGAGTATCCCAGCTAAATTTTCTTTAACCCAAATAGATTTACCTAAAGATAAATAAAGCTTTGGTCCCGATATTATGAATTTGAATTAACCCCACTGAATATTGTTAAATATTCAACCTCAATAGATTATCAATGATATTTACATATCAATCATCACCTAGCTAAATCAACCAGTAAATACTTGTTAACTTGCAGATTTTTATTTTTTCAGGCTAAATAGTAAAATAATAGAAAAACGTAATCATTATCAACACTTGTCATTTCAAAATATTTATGAATGCGTGAAATTGCATTGTAATCCTAGCATGATACTAGTTTTTATTTTACTAACACAGCTTACCCTATTTACACTGTAGAAGTAAAATGTTATAAAGTTTCATAAATAAATAAATAAAAGTAAACAAAAGTCTTTACATAACACTAACACACAACTAAAGTCATAATCAAATTGAGTAAATTCAGTAGTAACTTACTTTTCTGAAGTTATTATAAGCAAAACGTTCTTGGTTGAATGATTTTTCCTGTGATTCATTTTCAAAATAATCATCTTTTTCAACTAACAAAGTTGTGCCGAATTTAGGAAATGAAATTTCGGACTTCGTTAGAGTATTACCTAATTGTCTGTGTTCAACGTCAGGGCTATTTATAGTACAACATTCAACAGGATTGTTACCAGAACAAGAAGAGGAACGTGAGGAAGGTGATGAGCAGGAAGAATATATAAAGATGCAGTCAGAATCACTTTTTAAATCTGGAGCGTCTTCTGCAGACAATCCATGATTACTTGTATCTGGAGTATTATTATTACGTAATCCATATTTTAGCATAGATGTATTTGAAATATGTTGGACGTCTTCCGTACTTTCGCTAGCAATATTAACTGATGATGGAGATGATCCAGATGAATCGAAAATGGATTGGTTAGTATTCGGTGTAGTTGGACTAATGGTTGTTGTCTCTGGTTGATGATATCGCCAATCATATTGAGCTAGCCAATTCTTTTTAGGTTTAAATGAGTTCACTGGAAATAATGGTGGTAATGATGTGGAAGATGAAGCGAATTTCATTCGGAATCGATTAACGGCAGGAGTAGCAGTGACATTTGGACTGTGAACTTGAACAGAATCATTTCTTTCAATATCATCATGTAGTTCATCAGTACTAGTCAACTGTCTTGAAATGGTCAATGGTGAGAATCGAGTATTTTCACACGATACTGACAAATTAGGATTTGATGTAGGTTTTGTATCATTATATTGGAGTAGTGAATTTACCTTATAATGTTCTCCTCCAGGTGCTGCTTGTAAATATTGATGCTGAAACTTAGTATGATGAATTTTACATTTATCATCATGTAAATATGAATCAGAGCTCCTAGGTGTCAAGTTGTTTATCAGTTTCTGATTTTGGGAATTTGTTGCAAATGATTGTGATTTTAAATGATCTTCACAAATAATACGATTATTCTGTTTTTTTGAAGCAGAAGCACGAAATGCTGCTAAAGATTTTTCAAAATGCTCATCTACAGCTAATTCTGCAGCTGAACGTTTTTTATCGGCTTTTTTTACATCTACATTTAAAGACCATTCTTTATTATTTTCTTCTCCAAAATCAAACGACCGAATCGAAGTTGGAGTGGATATAGAAATGGTCGATGTGTTATTGGATTTTTCAGAAATACTTAGTTGTTTATGTGAATTAGACAATTTAAGATCATTTTGCTGAAATGAAAATTAAAAATGGTATTTATTTAGACAAATGTCAAACATATTTAATTATGTAAAATAATTCCATATCTTGATTAGCATGTGATCTGATCACAGGAATCTGGTAAACATTGATCGGATCTGAAACTGTTGTCATATCGTAATTTGTTAGATTGTTCTAACAATAACTCCAGTGATTTAAAATATGCAATATTTATTTAAAAAGTACCAAAAATAGAAGTCGATTAGACACCTTAACACATTTTTGTAGACGAATAATTGTGAAAATAAACTTATTTGAAACCAGTTGGAATTCTAAAAATGGCTCAGTTAAAAAGTATATAGACTATTTCTATTGGGTACCAGTTTTATTTTCATTTTATAAAACTAGTCATATTTTTTGCTGAAATAAATGGTTTTCTGTGAAGAATATTATAAGCGTAGATCTTAACTTAATAGATTTCAATAGAAAACAAGACAAAATAGTTAATTTTGATTACTGCATAAAATAAATACTACTGGACCTATGGTTTGCGTGACCGATAATTATTGTACACTACTTTTTATTGGTTCACTGCACTGACTCAAAATAAAATGCTGAATACTAAGGTTTTCTGTAAGGATATGACTATGCTACCTTATTGTTAATCTGACTACAGTTGAAAAATTTTGTACTCTGCTCAAAAGTAATAACATGTTACTCAATAAAAATTTTGAAAATTAAAATGTATGCTAAAAATAGACTGACTATTGGAAATGCAAGTAAATTGCATTACTGAAATCATGAATCGATCACTGTTATGTCACCATCAGAAACCTGGAAGCAGTGGACGGCCACATAGTCCTGGCATGTGACTCGTCAGCAGTACACATCTATGGCCAAGCAAGTGGGAATTGAACCGACGACCCAGATCGAACGTTCGGCGCTTCCAGGTTTCGAATGATGGTCTAAAATTGATCGGTAATTAAACTGAATAAAACTCAAGAATCTCCACAACCCTCTATCATAAGCGGCATAAGTTTCATAATATATTACACTTTTTAAAACAAATTTTCTCACAGATTGATATATTGATATTGTTGAGTTACTGGCACGTATTTTTGCTGAATAAAATATATCAACGAAATCCCAAGCTTACTTTTTTTTCGGTGAAAAAAACTAATTTCTTCAATCTGCGCCTTAGTTGAATTCTAAAACTACATACAGTCATGGTAGATGATCCTATAATTTCCACGTTGATGCAATATTGTAGCTCGTAATTTGCTAACGAATTGAAGTTATATCGAATAGGCTCAAGAGGATTATTAGTATTTCTGTAGACCTCTTATAATAGTTAACTGTTTAGCAGGCAATTTTATACTAGAAAACTCCTTTTGAATACAAATAACTACAAAACTATTTAAAATCTAATGAAGTTTATGGTTATTCGATACTTACGGAAACATCCACTTTCAATCCTCTTAATGCTTTGAAAAAATGTTCATCTGCATCTGCAGTTTGACGAATAATTATTTTTGAACCTTCTTCTGATTTTTTGTACCTAAAATAAAGCAGCATAATACGAGGTGATTAATGGATTATGTAATAATTACTGACGAATATACAACGAAAGTAGAACGAAATAAATTTCCTAAATATTGTTCAATGGTAACAGTTTGCAGGGATAATGAAGATAGAACTCATGTGTTCAATCAAAAAGTAACTTTTACTGAGTATGCTAAATGAGTAAAACAAACGGAAATCAGCAAGAATATCGCTAAAGTATATGAAATGTTAGATTCTTCAAGAAGAAATATCCACATACTGTTAATGTTGATATTATTCACTATCAGTCTTCTTCGCTAATCTCAAATAAATACTCACTACGTCAATGATAACGGTAATTTCGTAAATTTGCTTTAACTACTTATAAGTAGCTCTAAAGTTAGCAAAATATTTGTAGATTCAGTAGAAAATATTTATTTGTAATTACTGCAAATTTCGGACTTAGGTAAGCGAATAAATTTTTAACCTTAAAAACATTTAGAATTTTCTTTCAATGCAAACTATTTTCAGCTATCAACATAATTATGATACTAGGTACTTTAAAATGACTCCACATTTTTTTAAACAGATAACTTTAATAATTTTGAGCAAATTCTTGTAAGCGTCCCCATATGTCAAGAAAAGTGTTGAAAATACCTCTGTTATTTAGCTCTCCGTGAAACTTATGCTGAATAAACAGTTATCGCATTTTCTATCCAAATTTTGAATGCAATCTTTGAATTCTCTTAAATTTTTATCTCACGTATAATTCCATAAATACACTACTCTTTTCGAATAATCTAGACTTTGAAACAAAACCTCTGTTTATACAGATTTCTAGTTTCTATTTGGTATTTTAAAGATGCAAAACTAATCAACTAATCAATGGAATTTGCGCAGAATTAATCTACAGACAATTGCTGAATAATCCTGGAAAACATAATGAGTTTTTATCAATCCACTGAAAGTTAACAAATTACTATGAAAATTGCCAGTCACATTTATATCTCTATCTTCCATATTAAAGGAAATTAAATGGATGTCGTAAATTGTCCCATTCTCATTTTATCTAAATCACTGACGATACAATAGGGAACTCTGTCCAATTCTTACTGGTATTTATCATAGTGTATCGGTTAATTACTAGAGCGTTTAAAGTGAACGATTTAATTCTTATCCACTTGAAAGGATAATCAGTTATAATCCTTCAATTGAAACTTTTTATCCACTCACACAGTATATGTTTACTTATACTAGATCATTTTAATTTTATGCAAATGTACACTGTTCATATTCACAGGTTGGTAAGTACCACAAACTGTAATAAAATTGAGTCACGTTTTTCTATACACTATGTTTAGCGGTTACGAAACAATAGTATGTTCACATTCAAATTATGTAATTGTCAAATGATATCACGCTAATGAAATTCATATTCTGACGTTGGTTTATCTTGCACGAATATCATTGGAATAAACATTAGGCATTCAATATTCAAGTGAATATTACTTCGAACATTGTATCATTTAATTATTAGTGGTCATTTAAATTCAAGCAAACTACCTCGATTTGTAGAAAAATATCGTAATAAATCAAATCTTTTCTTGCCTATATCCATATTTCTAGTGTAATCTATGAATTTTCTGATGTTCCGACAGGTTTTGATACATTATAATATTTTGTACATTGAAAAGTAATTTTACAAGCACAATAGTAACATTTTATTTTTTAAAAGTTGACAAGGTATGCTGCATTGAAGTTTCCTCGGATCACCTCATTTTTTTTTATCTTTGAAATAATGTTAGAAACTATTTTTTCTAGAGGTGAAATATGTAACATAGTCTGATTAATTATCATACTAATACTGTAATAAAGTTTTTCTTATAAAAATTTTCTATACGTATCAATCTATCTATCAATTTTCGTACATTCTTTATTTATGTATTCACTTGCATTTTACTAATCTTTTCATTACGATCACTAAAAAGGAATTCGTATTTTTGAGAAGGAAAAATGTTAAATATATCGGTCGCCTAGAGAGAGAGAGAGAGAAAGAAACAAAGAAACTATGTACATAAATAAAAAAGAACATAAGACTACATAAAATCATGTCAAGGTCATTCAGTAGTCGGTTGTTTTACTACACAAACATATCTATCTTTCGCCTAAATCGGAATTCAATGGTGCATAACTTATGTGAAAAAATTCTACACAACTATGTCATAATATATAATGAGGAATTCTTTTTTTTTGTTAATTATTGAAATGAATTTCAAAAGAATTTTGTATTATCTCTTACGTACATATTAACTCTTTCACTGGGTATCATGACCAATCAACAGAAGGACTACGGTAAGTTTTTTATAAAAATTCATTATTAAGTAAAGCAGAAGTAAAAAGAACAAAACAACGTTAACAAAAATAAATTCTAATTTTTTAACATCTCACCATTTTAGGTGTGATAACATTTTAAGCGTAATGACTTGAAAGTTTCTTTGTATTAAATGGATCCAGAGGTTAAACTTATTGATTGGTATCGAACACTCTCTTCGATGATACAGGTTACGCCTAACTGTGTTAAAATGATTAAATTTTGACAATAAAAATATAAGGCAACTATGATTCCTTCTGATAAGTTTTCGAAAATTCCACACTACAACAAAATTACAGAGTTACAACTGCCTGGTATCTGGACGATACATGGATACACATTGACACCTAGAAATACTTCAAGTTGCTTAATAAGCATCGGTTCTTATTACATTTATGTCAGTTATTGAGGCTGTTTACGACAAACAAATGACCTTTAAACTTCATTTCATATGTTCATTTATTTGCTTACTTTATCATCTGTTCAAAGCCTGAAAATCCACTCTTATCATTTTATTTAATTTCCAAAATTTATTGTCACATAACTGAAAAATTGCTTATTACAGTCATAATTAAAAATGACTTCGTTTCAACGGCTGGAATTATATTCAATTCAATTTAAATTTATCAAGCTTGAAAGTACTGACAAAATCTTACTTAATAAAACTACTATTTTTGGTAATTTTCTGATTGAACAGTTATCATTTGAACCATTCAATCAATTTTCACGTGATCTAATTAACTGGGGTTATGGTTTTTTTTTACTTGACACAGATTCGCAACTTCTGTTTGTTAGAATTAATCACATATTTTCCCAGCCTTGTTGTAATAGTCTCAACAGATTTAAGAGAGGTGTTTTTTACATTTTGGTTTGATTATTCAGCAGCTCTTAATTGTGATTATTTGTAACCTTTTCACTGTTTATTAAATATATTGTAGTTATCATTTTCTATCAGTTTACTATTCATTTAGTGAGTGAGTATTATATATTAGAATGTAATTCCCACTAGAGGTTTCGTCTTAAGTCCTAACATTCGATGTACATGTGTTTATCATCTATCTTACATATTTGAGCGCACTACACTGACATGTTCATAGAAGTCAGGTGTAAATAACTCTAAAGTCTGGAAATGAAGTTTTTAATGCAAATTCCACTCTTATATATAGCGTTTACGTATTAAACGAATGGAAAAATAACTGAAAGTAATAGGCATAATGCAGTAAACTTGGAGTCTATCTTCCTTATTGTTTCGTCATAGGCCTAGAAATTATAAAATACGAAGAAGGATTTTGAAATCACAGACACCTTCATTAAACAACTGTAGGAAAGGTTAATACACTTTATTCAAATATGAAATTAAATCCTTAAAGTTATATTTTAATGAGGACTTCAGCTATCTTACACATCCAACGGTTTTTGTTTATTGGAATCTATATGGTTTATAAAAGTAAATAAACATTCGGCCATGTGGATGCAAAAAACATTTTTCTCTCCATAATAAGCTATGCACTCCGCCTGATTTGATGATATCGTCTAAATTATGAGAAAGTTTGATAATGACCAAAATGAGGAGAACCAAAAATCACTTTATGTCAATCCTCAGCAAATAGGTTTCATTCAATTTCCAAATGATTACAAAGTTTAGTTAGGTAATTTTTACACATCTTTCAAACATTTCTATTTCATTTAAAAGTATTCTTTTATGAAAGTTAACAACATATGATAGAAAGTATCATAATATCAAAGAATTTGAATTCAAAAAAGAAATATTTCTCCCTTCTTACAATACGCCTTCAAGTTTTTATTCAAAATCTCTACTGCAGCATATGAAATATCAACCCTACAAAATTACATAAATGTAGAGGAGAGAAATATGTGTGCATAATAGAAGAAATTAACGGATGAACAGACAGTTAAAAGTTATATAACCCTGAAAAGGTTGATTTTGATTGGTCAACACTAACTCCATTAGGATATATATATATATCAAATAATTTCGAAATAAATTATTGGTATTTTCGTGTATGTAATACCAATGTGATTTATATCACTAATATTATTATTATTATTACTGTTGTTTTTATCATGAAAGATTTTTTTTCGAAAAAAAATTCCACCTACATCACAAGATTAGTTTTTTGTTATCAGATAAAATAAAAGGAATTTCAGGTATGCCTTCATAATATTTTCTAAGCTGAAATTTGTAATTGAAATCAAGAATCTAATAAACTATAAATTAATGATATATAACTTTAAATATTTTGCTATTATTATGCTAATTTGGTTGATTTAATTAACTTATGACTGATTATTGTCGTTAATACTCATCTAGCCACTGAACCTATTCCAAACTAATCAACACAAACTTACTAACTGACAATCATGTAATGCATACTTACTAGGTCTAAGATAACTTTCTTCAAGTTATAATGCATTGCCTTGACCTATGAAGTCAATAGTGTAGACAATAGAAATTGTGTGATCAATGACTGAAGTTAGATGGTAATCGTCCTACATTGTCATGTGACTGATTGGATTTTTAACGAATCGATGTACGTATAATTTACCGTCCATGAAACTTATTATTTCGTTAATTTTCTAGATTCATTTAATAAGTTAAGGAAAGTAATTCTTCACATTGTTCA